TAAATCAAACAATACTGGGAACAAAATTCTCTAAGACAATTAGATAGAAATATTGGGGCAACTGAATTGCAAGTTAACATGTTTGTCTCTGCAGGTTGCCATGTAACTTCCTCTTCTGTCTCGAGAGAGTTCTGAAACAGATAGCAAGGACTTTCACTTGGTGCACTGCGGACATCCCAAGAGAGGGTCACTGTGAGGTACCAAGGTAAACATGTCCCCAGAGAGCAGCACAGTATATCACAGGCCAGGAACAAGAAGAAATGATTCCGTGCTATCAGTCAGTGTGGCTGCCGCCTGGACACCACAGAAATACTGGCAAAGCTAATGTTTTATAACATGCTCATTAACACTATCAGATCCCTACTCCCTTCAGCATGATTTAATAAAACTGAGAGGAATCATCTGATTGTATAGATCTTTCCAAACTATCAATTTTTTATTTTCAAGTCAAAATTAAGACTGACCTCAAAATTGAATAATGTCTAAACCTGTTCATTATGGAAAGTCGATTTAAGCTTGAAGCTTTGCCATTCCAAGTTGAATTCTGACTTTGAAACATCACTGGCAAATCTGAAAGTAAAATAAGAAAAACTGAAGCAATGGAAAAATCTCCCCTGGCGCACGGTGTTGAATGGAAGGTATTTCTATTCCTCAACATGTGTTTTACAGCTTTCTTTTATGAAGAAGAAAGATCATCCACTACTGTGTCACAGATATCATTTCACAAGGAAAATAAATTTTTGTAGAAGTAAAATTACCTTTACTTTTACATCTTTTAAATAAACAGGCAATCTTTTAAAAGGGCAATTTTATCCCAGCAGTCTCCTTATCTTGATACTTTGAAGAATATCATTTGCTCTGGAAATAGGCCACTAAATACCTTTTCCTGGTAAAAAGTGCAACATGAATTATTGATTATTTTTCTAAAATGAAATTGTCATTAAATGACAGAACAAGATGAAAGTGCTCATTTTATTTGTGGCATCCCGAACTCATATAGTATTTTAAAAAGAAAATGTAAAGAATCACTTTTTCTTTAATTTAATTAACTTTCCATTATTTACAGTAAATATGGTACAGAGATAGCAGAAAGCATAATTTTTTTTAGGAAAAAAGTATTTCTCAAAAGTTTCCTGTATGCTAACCTTAAATGTAGAAAAGTGATGTCCATGGCAATAGAAAAAGGCAGGGCAGGAGGCATCTGAACCAATCAGCACTATGACGCAATTAGAAAATTAAAGTAGGCTGCGTGCGATGGCTCACGCCTGTAATCACAACACTTTGGAAGGCCAAGGCAGGCAGATCACTTGAGCTCAGGAATCTCTCAGGACCAGCCTGGACAAAATGATGAAACCTCATCTCTACAAATAAATACAAAGATTAGCCAGGAGTGGTGCCAGACACCTCTAGTCTCAGCTACCTGGGAGGCTGAGGTGGGAAGGTTACCTGTGCCTCAAAGGTCAAGGCTGCAGTGAGCCTTGATCATGCCACTGCACTCCAAACTGGGTGACAGGGTGAGATCCTGTCTCAAAAAAAAAATTTTTTTTTAACCAATATCTGTTTTCAAATCACTGTAATACATTTTTTCCTCACATTTTGAAGAATTTTTAATCTATTTTTTTGTATCTTCCAAGCAAGAGCAATTAAAGTCTAGATCAAAAATGGGTTTTCTTTATTCATTATAGAAAATAGTTAACAATTGTTATTACACAAACCTTTTTATAAACAAATTTTTATATTAAGCAGCCCTACTGAACCAAAATATGTTCAGAGTGACTCCCTTACATAAACCTTTGATGCTTTTATAGTAGCAATGATAGAGACAGGAGGCAGTCAAATGCCTAGGCAGATGGGGTGGGCCCCTGGTGAAATCCCACCTTCAAGCCAAATACAGTTTAAAGCCCAGCTAGAAGTCTTGGGTAAATCCACAGACCAGATGGAGAAGCTGTCTTCCTGTTTGGCACATTTTCCTCTGACTGAACCCCACCGTTCCCCTATTCTACATATACCTACTCTTTCTCAATTGGTTTTCTGCACTGTTGTGCCCACCTTTGAATGGTATCTTTGCTTTAACCTTTTTTGCTTACTCACAAACCAATCAGCATTCTCCCTACTGAGAGCTGCTCTGCTGTTCCATAAAATTCTTCTCTGCTATCCTCACCCTTAGAATTGTTGACATATCCTCATTCTTCTTGGACATGGGGCAATAGCTCAGGAACCACCAAACGTTGAGTACAAGCTATAACAGGTGGCCCAAGTGGGCAGGTTGCCTCCAGTGGCAGCCTCAGTGTTGAGTGAGGTCTGGGCAGTGAGGGGGTATCGCTGGCCATGGAGGTCCCCAGTTGGCAAAGTGGCTGAGAAGAACCCTGTGTCAGCACCAGTATAAGTCTTGTTGAGTATTTGCCAATTATCTAACACTGAGCAAAACTAATACCTGTTTTCTAGGAGTGTAGAATCAAATAGATGCTTCCAAATACATAAGGGGCAGTACGTCCTGGACAAACCTGGCATGAAGCCTTCTCTCTTAAGGGTCTATTCTTTGAAGCACCAGGATACCTGCCACTATGTGAGAATAGAATTACAGAAATAGGAAGTCAAGCAATTTTCCCCTTAGGGTAAATCCTGGGAAACTGAGAGGAAATACCAAAATTAGTTGCTGCTATGTTCAAGACAAACATGATTAATTTTGAAGGCACATCATCACTATCAAAAACAGTAATTACAGAAACTGGAATAAACTGAGAGGTATAACCAACTACTCATCTGTCAGGGATGTTTTTAAGAAAGGGGAGAACTGAGTCACGCCTTTACTCATGTCCTGTTCTCTCATGCCTTTTTTCTGCCCTACATAATAAACAGACAAAGCATAAAATCACTTTTTGGCAGGGTGTGGTGGCTCACACCTGTAATCCCAGCACCTTGGGAGGCCTAGGCAAGTAGGTCACGAGGTCAGGAGATCGAGACCATCTTGGTCAAGATGGCGAAGCCCTGTCTCTACTAAAAATACAAAAATTAGCTGGGCTTGGTGGTGCATGCCTATAATCCCAGCTACTTGGGAGGCTGAAGCAGGAGAATCTCTTGAACCCAGGAGTCGGAGGTTGCAGCGAGCCAAGATTGTGCCATTGCACTCCAGCCTGGGCAACAGAGTGAGACTCTGTCTCAAAAACAAATCACTTTTTTATAAGAAATATTTTTTTAAGATTAAACAAATGCCTCGTGCTCCAAACTCTACAAGCAGAAAATAAAGTTGATTATTGTTCCTACAATCCCATCTATCTCCACGAGCTCCTCAGTCTTCACCCCTCCCCCAGCCACAGCACCTAAATTTTTCCTGCTATCCTACCACTACTCCCCAAACCATTCTATCTCTTTATCCTGCCTTCCTCCTTGAGTCTATCCTTAGGAAACTCAGAAAGGTTACTACATGTGGACATACAATGTATGGAATGTAGCAGTCCATACATTCTATGAATTATCAGATGAGAATAACATAGATATAAATGTATCAATTTGATCTTGGGACATATTTCATGCTATCTTAAAATCTCTATAAACCATCTCTTTAAAAGTGATTTTTAAACCACTCAGAGGTCCACCTAATTTGTTCCTGGTATACAAGGTAACCATTTGCTTGCCGGTGATAAACCAGATACCTCCCATTATTTCAAGCTAAATGAATTGCTAATTATTGTAAACCAACTCTACATCAAGTAATCTCTGGTTTTGCAAATAAGGCATGGCCATAATGTCAAAAAACTCAGTTTAGTGGGAAGTTAATGACATGAATAAAAAATTATCATACAGCTTTAGTGAATAACATAATGGAAGCATATATGTGTACAGAAAAAGGCATGAACAAATACTTTTTTGAGGCTCATTGAAAGGCCCACCTGATGAGAATATGCACACTCTTCCCCAAACCTGCCATGGTGTGTGCAATGTTGACAATGAGAGTTATTAATTTGAGATAATGAACTGTTTCCCAAAAGCCCACACACAATATTGGTGTTACTTGGAAAAGACTGATTTTGGAACATTTGTTGTTATATTAGCATGGATTCATTTGTTCTTAGAAACAGGAGGGTGTAGGGGGACAAAATATGCGAGTTTTGGTGAGAAGATAATTTCAAGGTTCACTCATGAAGGACAGCCCATAAGGACTGGCTCACATGAGACATAAATTCAGATGGAATAGAACGTGGACTCGCATTATGAGAGCATGAGCTAAAAGTGACTAGAGCTTGTCCAGACCAGACTTCTTAAAAGCAGAGTTATTACTCACTGCTTCTCCTAAAACCAGGTCACTTATTACTCAATCAACAGATATTTATATATTTCCCCTACTTTTTGTTTTTATAATAGGGTCTTTGGAGTCAAATTAAGACCACCCTCCTATTTTCTAAGACTGATTTATGATTTCTACATGTCCTGTTGCCAGCAAGACATCATGCAAAGGCAGGAACGAAAAAAATGAAAACTGAGCTTTCTGATGCCAATGCATTGGGGAATCACCTGCTTAGAGAACTGGAAGCTGATTTTCCTCCTGCCCCTCCCGTGCAAGATCTTTAGATTGTTGCTACCATATTCATATCTTTTCTCTTCACTTTAGACAGGTCACCCATTCCTCCTCTCCTTACAGACAGCTGGTGCAAGCTGTACCCTCTAATCTTTCTTTAATAAGCTTCAACAGTTTTCTTTCCATCCCTGCCTTAAGCAGATGATAAAAAAAAAAAAGAAAGTGTCTAACAGTTTAAAAGAGTAAAGATGAAGAAAGACCAAATAACGATTCACCATCATTAAATACAACAAAATTTGAGGCAACACTTAGGGTCCAAATTCGTCTTCACTTCCACTAATCTTCACTTCACAGAGATAAATCAAAGAATGATTTTCATCCTCACACAATGCTCACATAGTATATCTTTAAAGAGTCATTATAATTCAACTGTTGCTAAGATCTACAATTTTCCTTCTAATTGACAAAACCAAATATAGACAGGTTCTTGAAAGTGATGTTTATTTCTAATGAAAATAGTACAGTTTTATACATAGGAAAAGATCCTTATTTATTCATAAATACTTTAAAACGTTTATTTCTAATTATCCAATATGCAGACTGGAACATTTCAATAAAATAGTACAGTTAACATGAATTTATTTGATCCAAACTCTGAATAAAATTTCATTATAAACAAGATGAAAAAGAAAAGTCCTTTATTATCCATACTCCATATTAAACATATATTATGGTATGGACACTATTGCTTAAGTATCATCACATAGTCCTGATATATAAAAAACTATACCTGTATTCTCTGACACCAGAATTACTTTTTCTATATATAATCTTAATCTTTAAAGAAGTAATTAAATGTGAGGAAAAAAACAACAAGGATGAGGAATCATTTAACCTAGGCTGTAGCTATAACTGTGCGGGCTAAGGGCAGTGTTTTCCACCAGTCTTACTATCCCAAGGACAGTGATTTAACCTGTCTCTTATTAACTCATAGGAGTAGTGTAAGGTTTTACAAAATGCATGACTCAGGAAATTTCCAGACAATTCTTTAATCATGGTACCCTCCCACCTTCTGCCAGGATATCCTTTGTGAAATACAATGCAATGGATTTGAGGACTGTGAGCTTCACATCATTTTTTCTGCATTTATTACACAATTGGGAATAGAACATGCTAGGCTCTTGACTCACGGCAGCTGGATTGTAAAGGAGGAAGGCTGGCCCCACCCATTCCTACTGGGAATTGTTAGAAACGTTTTAGGAAAAAATAACAACCCTTGGGTTGTTGTTATTTTGGTTGGTTGGTTTGTTTTTGCTAAAACACCTCAATTTAATAGTTATTCTACATTAGCTCTTCCATTACGGAATAAACTTTGTGTTTTCTTCCCTTTGCAAAATGAACATTCAAGTCAGGGACAGAAAGATGTCAAAGTTCCCATTGTTGAAAACAGAAATAACATAAAGCTACCAAAAAATCATAAAATGGAAGTCAAGTTTATAAAAAATAATAATAATAAACACATACAAATGAATAGTTAGTTCAGGTATCATACTTCAGCCAACCTGCTTTTAGAGTGTACAAAGAATATTTGTGCAGTTTCTATCTTTGTTAGAGGTAATATTAAGTCAGAGTTGTTCAATCACATTACAATTTACTGTGACCAAAAAAGAGAAAAAAAAAAAAAAAGAAAGAAAGTGGGGAGGAGCCAACCCGTGGTGACTAGATAATATAGAAGAAAAAACAGAAGATGGGAATGAAATCAGATAAAGCCTGCACTAGTTTTATTATATAAAGTAAATGGGGCCTGGTGCAATGATACTCACCCCTGTAATCCCAGCACTTTGGGAGGCCAAGATAGGTGGATCACCTGAGGTCAGGAGTTCAAGACCAGGCTGGCCACCATGGTGATGGTGAAACCCCCATCTCTACTAAAAATGTAAAAATTAGCCGGGCATGGTGGCAGGTGCCTGTAATCCCAGCTATTCAGGAAGCTGAGGCATGAGAATCACTTAAACCTGGGAAGCGGAGGTTGCAGTGAGCTGAGATCACCCCATTGCACCCAAGCCTGGGCAACAGAGCAAGACTCCATCTTAACAAATAATAATAAAGTAAATGGGACTTCAGATCATGCAAATGTGAACAAGTACCCTTAAACCATTGCACTGGTGAAAATGGAGCCCTATTTACCAAATAAATTCCCCTTTATCCACAACCCAAAAAAGATAGTATATGTAATTCAATTATAAAGACTACATCTGTAAAACACCACAGTATCTTGCAAGTTTTTTAAATGGTTATTTACCATGCACTTTTATTGCTAACTGCATTTTATTGTTTGCAAATAAGGTGACAGTCTTATTGAATATTACGTTGCTAGGTTAACAAGAACGTACTAGTTCTCAGAAAATTTCATTCCTCAGTTGTGCAGTGCAAATGACAGTTTAGCCTAAGACTTGTAAATGACAACATGCCATTGAAACCTCTTTGACAATGGCCTTTTGGAAAGAAGCTCTTTGGGAGGAGTTCTTTTCATCAAACTGATAGCTCCGTTAGTGCTCTGCTTTGTATATGACTGGATCTTTGCTGGGGAAACCGTTCTTCAAGCTTTCAACAGTGGTTCAGCTACAGCAAAGGTAAGACAAAAGTTTTATTCCTTAACGGAGGCTTCCTGCTCTTTCCCTGATAGTTGAGGGGTTCCTTTACTCTTCCATTTCACTGGTGTGGAGCAGACATTGATGAAGAGCTAAGTGTTTTGCTCTTGCATGAAAAGATCATGCAAAAGGAAATCAGAGATGGTGACACGTGTCAGAATTCCCAAATTCCCACTCCTCTGCTTAGCTTGTGGAAAACAACAGTCCTCCTTTGGCTCAGCTTGTGCTTCTCCTAAGTATTCCACATGGCGACCTGCCCTAGAGGGATTTGTGTCCATCTAGAATTCTTCCAGCAAGCACACATTCAGTCTAAGGTTAATTTGTGCTAAAATACATTTTCATCTAACACATGGTTTAGGAAAACAGTTTACAATCTTAAGCAGAAAACTTTGGAAGTTTTTATAATAAAGTTAAGCATTTAGTAGCGAAAAATATCATTAACACTTATAATGTCTTAAAGATAATTATCAATTATTCCCAAATGGGCCCAGTGGAAAGTGTCTCAGCAGGGGCTTATACCTATGCTGAACTGTTAGAGGATCCATTATGTGAGCAGAGAATGAAAGGAAATACTAGGATAAGGGAGCCACCATGGCGTGGGCGCGCATGCGCGTGCATGCACACACACACACACACACACACACACACACATATACACACAACCTGTTATGCATACATACTTTGCAAAATACCTGGCCATTTTCAAGGCTTTCACTAGCTTTCCCGTGGCATGCACCAAGCCCAGGTGGTGAGCTTCTGGTGTCCTCATAATGCGTAGAATTGGCAGACATCAAGTTAAGAAAAGAAAGTGAACCAAGTATTTTATCTTATGGTCAGTTTATACTGGTTATTTATATCTTGTTAGAAATAAATTGAAATGTTCAGAATTGTTTTTGGCAAACATGAAGACATCTAACACAAAGTATCTGCATTAATAATAACCTATTGCATATGCAATTTAATATCATAATGATGATGATTTGGCCTTCTCCTCTCCCCCTCCAAAGCAGCCCATTCAAAAAAAAAAACACTAAGGAGAAAGAGGAACACGTCCATTTTTCTGTCAAAATTTACATAAAGTATGGACTTCCTATCTGTACAGTTTTTTAAATATTTTAATTGCAATAAACACCTTGCCCTATTTTGTATAAGCAGGAGTTAATTTAGACACAAAGGAGAAGCAATGAAAATGGGCTAATCTATATTATGTGAGGTAGTTAAGTGCTGTTTTCCAAATTAACATACCAGGAACTAGAGGAGAGACAGGGTTTGCCCAAGACATCTTTAGATCTCAGAAGCAATCAGGGAACCTCAGTCCAGCAATCAAGAAACAAAATATATCCTCAGCACTGGGGCCTTGACTCACACTCCCTCCCTCCCTGCCCATGTGATTAAATTTGTCTTTAGATTAATGGGAATCTTCTAAACTTCACATATACGCATTGTTCCTGAAAACTAAAAGAAAAAAAAAAGATATTAACATAGTTAACATAACAATAATGTGGTCTTGGTGAATATGCTCAGGAAATGCAAAACACTGATAGAAACATAAAATACAACCCTAATTCTATCCTGCAGCACAAAAGGTTGCTTTTTCTTTAGCAGTTTGATCAAAAAAAAGAAAGAAAATATCTTATTTAGATGAATGCCTATGAACTATGCATACATTAAGACTACTTCAAACATTTCCTCATTCTACCCAACAATAACAAATATACTCCAAAATATTCCCTTACTAAGCCTGACTTCTCCATGTAAGAATCTCACCTTATTTTCCTATTGAGAAACTTCAGGCACAGTTCTTAGGAGATACCCTCAATGATTCAGAAGCAGACAGCAGCTGCAGCCCTAACTCCCAGGTCCAGCTTTTTCTTATAGAATACTTTCCAGAATTTTTGTAGTCTTCAACTTCTTTAAACACAGCTTTCGGTCATCATTGAAATAAAAATGGTAACATCTCTTATTACATTTTGAAAACTTATGCTGAAAAAAAAAACACACAGTGTGCCCTACATTTTTTTTTTTAATAGAACACTCTTCTTCCAATAGTGTTCAAAATCCAGGCTAATTATATGACATAAGTAACAAGTAATCTCCATCTTCTCCAGTCTTCGAATCAGTTTCAGAACAGGAGTTTGGTTAAAGCTCTTCCCTGCCATGAAGAAAACAAAGAGCAGTTTAAAAAAAAACAAAGAATGCAATTAGTGTCATATATCACTCAGCTATATTCCTAAAATCATGAATACTTTTTATTTTTTATTTATTTGAAGGAACGTTGCTCTGTGCTATGCTAAAAAATTTTTAAATCCAGTCTACAGAGACTGTGTAATGCTTTAACTAACTGAATCAAATCTAAGAATGTTTTTTGGGCTACCCGATAGATGAAAACTCTGAAACGAAGTAAAAACTAAAAATGCTGTATGGATTGTGTGCCTAACAGCTTTTCGAGGTCATATTCCTTCCATGAACCTCCTAGGGTTACAGAGTCTGTGCGGACTTCCTTTTGTTTCACAGGGGCTTCTAGTTCAAATCTTCTTTGTTTCATAGATCCTTTTTGCATATTTTAATGTTTGACAGTGCACCGGAAGAAACGGAAGTAAGTAATCAATCTGCCTGTTCCTTTAAGGCTCTCCTGAATCCTTTCTTTCGATGTCTTAGCCTAGAAAAGATGTATTTTTAATACAGTGAACATATTCAATTAGGTAGCTTTGAGAGGCTTCTAAAGGGTCTTAGGAAAGACAAAAACATTCATGTTCTTTCTACTGGATACTACTGAAATGGAGCTGTGGGCCATCTGCTGGCTGAAGATGCAGAGATGATGGATTCTCTGGTTTAAAAGGCCAACGCCTGATGCAGCTGCTCTGGCTGCATTCGGCAAGACTGGCAGCACCTCCTGGAAGCCAAGTCAGATGTTCAGAGATTTTTAGAGGTATCTCTACTGTGCACACAGAATTAGAAAAGCATCTTTCTCAGTTTCCTTAGGTATCAATTTGACCCTTCTCTTAGAGAGAAACCATGAGCAAAGGAACCACCTATCAGAGAAAAAGAATTTTGAGCAAAGGGGCAGGAGTTTCACACAGGGCCAAGGGTGTAATTCTGACCCTTCATCAATTCTTTTATAAGCATGCGTGGATTGCTCTGATTTTTCTCTTCTAAAAGCCAAGTGAAGATACCTGGTCTGGTCCTCAATACCAAACTGTAAGCCTACCCAACACACTCAACTAATGCCCATGACGGTCTCTTTTCAAGGTAATTTATTTTGTAACCTATGTCTAGTAATGAATCCTGAGAACCAAAGAACAAAAAAAAAATTACAGAGATTTGCCCAAAATGCATCCTGAGAAAAGCAAATGGGAAAATTAAGATAAACTTGAGAGAGGCAAGAGATACAGTTTAATGAGATCTGTAATTCAAAGCATACTGAAAAGTATCTACAGAAATGGAGATGAAAGAATATGTTGAGGCCAGGCGAGGTGGCTCACACCTGTAATCCCAGCACTTTGGGAGGCCAGGGCAGGTGGATCACGGGGTCAAGAGATTGAGAGCATCCTGGCCAATATGGTGAAACCCTGTCTCTACTAAAATTCAAAAATTTAGCTGGGCATGGTGGTGCACACCTGTAGTCTCAGCTACTCGGGAGGCTAAGGCAGGAGAATTGCTTGAACCTGGGAGGCGGAGGTTACAGTGAGCCAAGATTGCGCCACTGCACTACAGCCTGGCGTCTGGTGACAGAGCGAGACTCTGTCTCAAAAAAAAAATTGTTTGTTTTAATAAAATAACAAAAGAAGTGAAAAAAAAGACTACATTGAAATATGTGAGGACTTATGGCTACTCAAATGTTCTTCATAGGAACTATCTATAAAAAATATTTTATGGCATCAGATCTGGTGAGCTCTATGGTAACAAGGGAGAAAATATCACATAGTCCAGGCGTCTCTAGGTCAAAACAGAGAGTATCTTAGTTTTAAATCTTCTCTGCCACTGGCTATCCCTGTCATCTTAAGTAAGTCCCTTCCAGTCTCCAAGATTTCCTTTCCTCAAATGAGAAACACCCAATTTACAAAGCCGTTGTAAGGAATATATGAGATAATCTGTACAGACATGCATCATCTGTGAGGAACTCAACAAATGTTGGTTATCTGTGTTTTACAGGCAGCCTTACTGCTATTTCCTATAACATGGGATTTTGCTGGAAACGTCAGTTTTGAGATATTCCACAAAACAATTATTGCCAAGACTCCTGTCACATGGACAGGAAATTACGTGCTCACTCAGGTGTGACATTAAGCTAAGGCCCACTGTTAAGTCTGTAGGTTGGGGTAGAGGGCTGTTTCAAAAGCTTACACTTTTTGCTCTCTCACGAAAGCGGCAAACTCAGGATCATTGGCATACAGCTCCAAAACTCTCATTCTCTCTTGAATTTCCTTAAACAAACAAGAAAAAGTAGGCCACACACAATGTTAGAAAAACCCCACAGCCTTTTAAAAGGAGTTCTAATTTTCATAAAGAATTGTTACATTCTGGGCTATTCACAAGTGTGCTATAAGAAAGAATGCACTTTCAGAGAAATGGAAGAATCTATATATACTACTCTGGATATTACATGTCCTGCTCTAAATCAGACATATTTCTAAGGAAGAAAGGGAGGAAGGAGAGACAGTACCAATTAATAATGAAAAAAAAGCGCCATTGGGTGGGAAATAAGGTACCGCTCAGAATTGAATACTCTGTGCATATCTTACTGACTGGGAGATATGAGGTAAAAAGCAATTACTAAATGTGTTTTATACTTTCTTAAAGCCATGTGCATGCATGCATACACCCATTCACACCCACTCCCACCCACCACACACACCCACACACACACACATCAGCAGTAGCTGTAACAGCAACAATACAGCAACAGAAATGCAAAGTTTCCCACCTCTCTGGAAAGCTCACTGCTCTCATACATCTGTCTGATTTCTTCTCTGCTCAGACCACCAATCATTTCTCCACTAGCAGAGCTGTAGAAAGGATGCTGAGGATAGGGTCTCTCATACTTCTCACATCCAGCCCTGTGACTTTCATACACCGGGTTGTACTTCACAGCATTCTCAATGGATGAGAGGCTGTCAGGCTGCCTGCTAGAGCCACTAAAAGAAAGATATGACTGGTTCAGGCTCTTGTTTGGATGCTCAACTATTTGGAAAAGTATTTACCTGGGACTAGATTTCTGTTGGGAAAGACAACTAAGTGGACTTCACACAAATACTGTGAAAAATATCCAGCTCAATTTCAAAAATTATCAGGTGTTATCATGATTTCCTCAAGTGTCCTGTGGACTTGCTCCTTGTCTCGTTCATCTTATTTCTCATAGTGCCTCACATTTATAAATTTTGGGAACTATGCCAGTAGATAGTATTTCATAAACTATAGCTTTGTCATTCCCAGAGTTATACACATAGAAAAATCAGTGTGTAGTCACACAGCAAATCTGACCGAAATAAAAATATTAGGGTCTAGGGGAAGCAGGGCCTCAATTACATTCCACTCAGGTCTACACATATTTACTAAGCCTTGATTATGGGCATAGGACTGTTCTATATGCTGGTGATACAAATAATCTATTATCTCTGCCCTGAATGAGATTACAGTCTAATGAAAAGTCAGATACAATAAAAAGCGTAATAACAATGACGGAGGTACGTCCCAGGTGCTCCAGGACCTAGCTAAGTCAGATGGTGAGGGAAGGTAAACCAGACTTCAAGTTGTAGCTCTTGTAGACTTTAGATGCACCAAAGCAAAGTATAACGTGTGATAATGCTCCTTGAATCTGTAGTCTAGCAAATGGACTAGCTTTTATTTCCTCATCAACAAAGCCACACTTAACTCAACAGAGGATGAGATTTCATTTCTTGACAGACCCTTACCTAGATTTAAAATCTGGCTAATTACCACTCATAAGAGCCAAAGAGGAGAAAGATGTAACAGATATGGTCTTCCCTGAAGGAAAATTCACCTCTTCTGTCTCATCTCCCTCATTGCTTCTCCAAACTCTCCCTGACCTTGAAATAGGCATTCTGTCCACACTCAACCATGCCTTTCCTTCTATGCACCTTGAAGTTCATACATGCCTCCCTGACTTTGCTCCTGCTCGTCCAACCAGCTAGAAAGCATCCCAGCCCAAAAGTAACAAATGTCTACTCTTTCTCTCCAGCAAACTATCACAGCCATCATTAAAACTTTTTGAGACTTTTTCCCAGACAAAACTAACTTACACCTCATCTAGGCTCCTTAGCATCTTATTCTTAGTGCTGCTTCTATTTTCTTCACTGTGACACCCCTTTGAGGACAAGGGCCATGTGTTTACTCAAATTCATAGCTCTCTTATACCCTCCCAGCTCCTTGTCCAATATTTGGCACCTGGTAAGTATTAAATAAATATGTAAATGCAACAGTATATTTCAGTAGAGAGCTCTTTCCCTTATTTACCTGAAGGGCCTCTCTCTTTCACTCCTGTCATGGTGTGCTTGAAGAATCCTGATGAAGAAGTAGGTGACAGCAGAAAAGATGACAAGAAGTCCAACCACGGAGGCGATGGTGATGCCTATGACCATGGGCTCGGACACAAACTCCTCACAGTGCTCGCCTCGGTACCACCAGTTCTCACCCACCCGGCACCTGCAACCAACAGTCACCAAATCCAGTATCTGAATCACTCTGTTCACACCGACAATTAACAGCAGGACCTTCTGAGAAACTGGGGAAAGCAAGAAATAAACGCTGACCACGTGAAGCTTCATAAAGAGTTGAATAGACAGGTTAAAAAATCACACAGTTTAAGGCAGTGCGTAAAGCCCAGCACAGACCTAGTGTGTCCACAATGACTGCTTGAGATTAGCTAAATAAAATGCTAAATAGATTTAAGGAAATCATTCTACTTAACCTCCTTATCTATGGATAACCACAAAGCAGGCCTAGGAAGGAAAGTACCTGGGATTAGTCTTCTATAGAACCGGGTCTAGAAACCGGGCCTCCAGACTCCCCATGTTCTTTCAGTGCCCCAAAGATATCCTTCAAACCCTAAGGCCACAGGGAAAGGAAATCACTGCTTTTCTAAATAATATTCATTTCTCTGGGCATGAAGAGACTGTTTTACTCCTTATAAACTTTATACTTCTTCATATAGAAGAGTCTGGATTATTTCTGCTTATTTTCTGTTTTTGCGTCTATGCCAGCATCTTCCCGTTTTGACCTTGCAAACTGTCCTCTATTTGTGTTTCTCCTCCTTATTCTCAGCATTCTCTCCTCTTCAACCATGCAGCTTTGTTTAAGGGGTGTGGGCAGAGGACAGTCAGGCTAACTAAATCTGCTCATCTTCTCATGGGTTCTACCTTTAGAAAACAGATCTCTGATGTACTTAAAGACAAACATTTTTGCCACCACTTTGAAAGCTTTAAATACTTGCTTTTCTTTATCTTTGAAATACTAAGTAGGAATAAGAGGAGCCCAAAACCTTTAAAAATGTAATTCGAGTATAACAATAAAACTAATTTTCACTTTCAGATATAGAGGAACGTGTTCGCCTTATACCTAAACCTCATTGGAACACCGGTTTCTGTATTATCACCATCAAAAACTATACTACAAAGATCTCCATCTGCTCCAAGTACTCTCAGCAAGACTTTTTTTTCTGAGGTAGAGTTTCACTCGTGTCACCCAGGCTGGATTGCTGTGGGAGATCTCGACTCACTGTAACCTCCACCTTCCAGGTTCAAGTGATTCTCCTGCCTCAGCCTCCCAAGTAGCTGGGATTACAGGTGCCCGCCACCACACTCAGCTAATTTTTGTATTTTTAGTAGAGTTGGAGTTTTACCATCTTGGCCAGACTGGTCTCAGACTCCTGACCTCAGATGATCCACACACCTCAGCCTCACAGACTGCTGGGATTAGAGGCGTGAGCCACCACGCCTGGCCAGTAGGACATATTTAGACAATTTTTTAACAGTACCTTAACCGTGTAAAACATCCCATTGAAATTCAGGTCCGTTAAATGACTCATCCTCACATGACAGTTAGATGGCTCCCCTCTGTGGCCTAGATATAACTTTTATAATGCATACTATAGTAAGTATCCTAAAAGTATAGGTGTAGTCCCTTTTACTTAGAGAAAATATCTATCACCTTTAAAGACAAAATCTGTAACTACAACATACCTACAAATGGCCCCGTGTCCAGGCATAATGTCGCACTTTCCATCATTCAAGCAGAAGTCAGGCTGCAGGTCACAGAGACTCTGACAGGGCCGTTCCTCCACACTCAGGTATCCAGGGAAGCATCTGCACTTTGCTTCCCCACTCCAGGGGTTGACTAGACATTCAGAAAACTCATTACAGGCCTGAAACTTGCAAGGGTTGGCTTCATCACCTAAAACAGTAAACAAAAAACAATGCAAGAAAAGACAAAGCACAGAAATTTGTATATACAAAGACCCTTATCAAAGTTCTCCCCCAAAGTAGATGGGACAACCCCCTTCCAGAACCATTAAAGTACACCATCACCACCAATACCACACAAAGAAATTCTCATTCATCCTAAGATTGATACGCTTTTGTCAAACTTTTCTGCAAGAGGATCCAAGATGGCCAAATAGGAACAGCTACGGAATGCAGTTCCCAGAAAGAGCAACGCAGAGGAAGAGAGCACCTGGGAAAACAGGCGGTTATGAGTTCCGCTGCAGGAGACTTAAATGCACCTGCCCCGGAGCTCTGAATGAACAATGGAGCTCCCAGCCCAGCACTTGAGCTCCTATAAAGGACAGACTGTCTCCTCAAGCAGATCCCCAAACCCCGTGTACTCAAAACGACACCTCATAAAGGACAGCTCAGGCTGACATCTGATGGGTACCCTTCTGGGATAAAGATAACAGAAGAAGAAACCCCCAGCAACCTTTGCTGTTCTGCAGCTGCCACAGGTGATCCCCAGGCAAGCAGGGTCTGGAGTGGACCGCCAGCAGTCCTACAGCAGAAGGGCCAGAAAACTAAGAAACAGAAAGAAATAACTTCATCATGAATAAAAAGAGCATCCACTCAGAGATAGCATCCGAAAGTCACCAAACTACAAAGACCACATATAGATAAAGCCATGAACATGGGAAGAAACCAGCACAGAAAGGATGAAAATACCAAAAACCAGAACACCTCTCCTCCTCCAAGGGATCACAACTCCTCACCAGCTAGGGAACAAAGCTGGATGGAGGAGGAGGACTCAAGATGGCACTGTGAGAACAACCCAGGATTGGAGCTCTCGTTGAATCCGCAAAGAGGTGAGTCGAAGTTGCATTTCCAGACTGATCTTTGTTGCCCACAGAACGGGGAAACTTCCAAGTGTAAGGGAGACACGGGACGCCAGGCAGTAAGTCCACCTGGAGAAGCCGGCAGCCAGGGCGGCGGCGGCCGGCCCTACCCAGCAATCCCCACAGGGCGCGCTTGTCCAGGTGCCCTGTTGAATCGGCAACCTGAGACTTGAGAGGGCTGGACTTGAGACTGAACGAGACTTGGACAGTAGGCCAGCCAAGGGGATTGCAGGGACAGATCGTTTGGGATACCCAGTGGGACGAACAAAACCATGATTTCAAACTATCCAGAGTAGACGGTCCAAGACGCTCTGTGGGGGAGGGGCGTCCGCCACTACTGAGGCAACCCGCCCCAACTGAGATACATGCCCACTGCTGACGCAGCCAGCCGTTGCCGAGGCAACCCGTCCCTACTGAGATACACGCCCACTGCTGACGCAGCCTGCCGTTGCCGAGGCAACATGCTACAACGAAGAGACTCCACCGCAGGGCGTGGTGGAGACCACAGCAGAGCCTGCAGGAACAGGGCAAATCACACAACAGCAGGGCAGAGACTTGGCAGGCAAACAGTGGCTAGTCTGCCGCCTAGCTGGGCAGGACACCTCAACGGACATCGAAAAATAAAGCCCGAACCCCCCAACACAGAGCATTTGAGAAAAAAAGGGTTTTTTTAATGAGCTCTGTTGCAGCAGAATCAAACACAGCAGCCTAACAGCCCTGAATGAACAACAGAGCTCACAGCTCAGAAATTGAGCTCCTAAAAAGAACAGACTGTCTCCTCAAGCAGCTCCCTGACCCCTCTATATCCAAAAGAGTGACATTTGGCAGGCATCATCCCGGGACAAAGATAGCAGAAAAAGAAACGGTTAGCATCCCTCACTGTGCCACAGCTGCTAGAGGTGCACCCCAGACAAGCAGGGCCTGGAGTGGACCTCAGCAGTCGTACAGCGAAGGGGCTAGGCTGGTAGAAGGAAAACCAAGTAACAGAAATACTTCATCATCAACAATCTGGGTGTCCACTCAGAGACCCAATCGAAAAGTCAGCAACTACGCAGACGACAAGCGGATAAACCCACAAAGATGGGAAGAAACCAGCGAAAAAAGGAGGAAAACACCCGAAACCAGAACACATCGCCTCCTAGAAAGGACCAAAACTCCTCACCAGCAAGAGAACTAAGCTGGATGGAGAATGACTGTGACGAAATGACGGAATTAGACTTCAGAAGGTGGATAATGAGAAACTTTTGTGAGCTAAAAGAACATGTATTAAATCAATGCAAAGAAACTAAGGAACTTAAAAAAAGATATGAGGAAATGATAACAAGAATGGATAACTTAGAAAGGAATATGAATGAATTAAAGGAGCTGAAAAACACAATACGAGAACTTCGCGAAGCATGCACAAGTTTCAATAGCCGAATTGACCAAGCAGAAGAAAGAATATCTGAAGTCGAAGACCAACTCAATGAAATTAAACAAGAAACCAAGATTAGAGAAAAAAGCGCAAAAAGGAATGAACAAAGTCTCCAAGAAATGTGGGACGATGTGAAAAGACCTAACCTACGTTTGATAGGCGTACCAGAAGGGGACGAAGAGAATGAATCCAAGCTGGAAAATACTCTTCAGGACATCATCCAGGAAAACTTCCCCCACCTAGCAAGACAGGCCAACACTCAAATGCAGGAAATACAGAGAACACCACAAAGATATTCTGCAAGAAGAGCAACCCCAAGGCACATAATCATCAGATTCAACAAAGTTGAAATAAAGGAGAAAATACTAAGGGCATCCAGAGAGAAAGGTCGAGTGACGCACAAAGGGAAGCCCATCAGACTCACAGCAGATCTCTCGGCAGAAACACTACAAGCCAGAAGAGAGTGGGGGCCAATATTCAACATTCTTAAAGAAAAGAACTTTAAACCCAGAATTTCATATCCAGCCAAACTGAGCTTCAGAAGTGAAGGAAAAATAAAATCCTTTGCGAACAAGCAAGTACTCAGAGATTTTTGTCACCACCAGGCCTGCTTTACAAGAGCTCCTAAAAGAGGCACTACACATAGAAAGGAAAAACCAGTACCAGCCATTCCAAAATCAACTAAATGCTAAAGAGCATCAACATAATGAAGAATTTACAACAACTAACAGGCAAAACAGCCACTTAGCATCAAAATGGCAGTATCAAATTCACACATAACAATATTAACCCTAAATGTAAATGGACTAAATGCACCAATCAAAAGACACAGACTGGCAAATTGGATAAAAATCCAAAACTCATCAGTGTGCTGTATCCAGGAAACCCATCTCACATTCAAGGATACACAAAGGCTCAAAATAAAGGGATGGAGGAAGATTTACCAAGCAAATGGAGGGCAAAAAAAAAAAAGCAGGAGTTGCAATTCTCATCTCTGATAAAATAGACTTTAAAGCAACAAAGATCAAAAGAGACAAAGAAGGACATTACATACTGGTAAAAGGATCGATAAAACAAGAAGAGCTAATGATCCTAAACATATATGGACCCACTACAGGAGCACCCAGATACATAAGGCAAGTTCTTAATGACTTACAAAGAGACTTAGACTCCCACACAATAATAGTGGGAGACTTTAACACTCCACTGTCAATATTAGACAGATCAACCAGACAGAAAATCAACAAGGATATCCAGGGCTTGAACTCAGACCTGGAGCAAACAAGCCTGATAGACATTTACAGAACTCTCCACCCCAAATCCACAGAATATACATTCTTCTCACCACCACATCACACCTACTCAAAAATTGACCACATAATTGGAAGTAAAGCACTGCTCAGCAAATGCAAAACAACTGAAATCATAACAAACAGCGTCTCAGACCATAGTGCAATCAAGTTAGAACTCAGAATACAGAAACCAACCCAGAACCGCACAGCTTCATGGAAACTGAACAACTGGCTCTTGAATGTTGACTGGGTAAACAATGAAATGAAGGCAGAAATAAAGAAGTTCTTCGAAACCAATGAGAAGGAAGACACAACGTGCCAGAACCTCTGGGACACATTTAAAGCAGTCTCTAGAGGAAAGTATATAGCAATAAGTGCCCATATGAGGAGAATGGAGAGATCCAAAATTGACACCCTATCATCAAAATTGAAAGAGCTAGAGGAGCAAGATCAAAAAAACTCAAAACCCAGCAGAAGACAAGAAATAACTAAGATCAGAGCTGAGCTGAAGGAGATTGAGACACGAAAAACCCTTCAAAAAATCAATAAATCCAAGAGCTGGTTTTTTGAAAAGATCAACAAAATAGACAGACCACTAGCCAGATTGATTAAAAAGAAAAGAGAGAACAACCAAATAGATGCAATAAAAAATGATAAAGAGGAAATCACCACAGATTCCACAGAAATTCAAACCATCATCAGAGAATATTACAAACAACTCTATGCACATAAACTAGTAAACCTGGAAGAAATGGATAAATTCCTGGACTCCTGCATCCTCCCAAGCCTAAACCAGGAGGAAGCTGAAACTATGAATAGACCAATAACAAGGTCTGAAGTCGAGGCAGCAATTAAGAGCCTACCACACAAAAAAAAGCCCAGGTCCAGACGGGTTCACAGCCGAATTCTACCAGACACACAAGGAGGAGCTGGTACCATTCCTTCTAAAACTATTTCAAACAATCCAAAAAGAGGGAATACTTCCCAAATCATTTTACGAGACCAACATCATTCTGATACCAAAACCCGGCAGAGACCCAACAAGAAAAGAAAACTTCAGGCCAATATCCATGATGAACATAGATGCAAAAATCTTCAATAAAATATTGGCAAGCCGAATGCAACAGCAAATCAAAAAACTTATTCATCATGATCAAGTAGGATTCATCCCGGGGATGCAAGGCTGGTTCAACATACGCAAGTCTATAAACGTAATTCACCACATAAACAGAACCAAAAACAAAACCCACATGATTATCTCAATTGACGCAGAGAAGGCATTTGACAAAATTCAACAGCCTTTATGCTAAAAACCCTCAATAAACTCGGTATTGATGGAACGTATCTCAAAGTAATAAAAGCTATT